CACCAACCAGAACACCACAAAGACGCCTGCGGGGCAACCTTCTGCCAAAGCGGCTCCATCTGCATTCGTTGGGCCGACGAAGCCCCCGCCACAGAGGAACGGCTCGGCCCGGCCCAGTAGACTGAGCAGCACAGGTAAGACTAACGCTGGATTAATGCCATCTATTGACAATAGACGCTCTTTGTTTTCTTGAAAACACTGTTGATGATTTATTAAAAACCTCCATCAGAGCTTCTGCAAATTTCACAGCCTTTTATAGGTTTAAGCTCTGGAAAAAAAAAGATTTAAAGTTCAAAACATCAAAGTTTCAAGCCTCTGGACTTTCTTTTTCTATTGACAAGATTCACATTTTCTTAAAATACAATGCTTGAACCGCCCTCATATATGTAAGGGGCATTTTTCTAGTTTTACTGATGATCTTTTATTCCAAAATCTTTATTTAACTGAGAGTTATTCTTTAGCTTTAAGGACAAGGCCGTCAGTATGGAAGAGGATTAGGGCCACTGAAAAAAAAATACAAAAGTTTTATTTCAGTTTAACATGGGAAAAAAAGTCAGAATTCTGACTTTTTTATCAGAATTCTGACTTTTTTCTCAGTATTCTGACTTTAATCTCAGAATTCTGACTTTTTTCCCATACTAAACTGAAATAAAATGTAAAAATCAGTTAACTTTTTTTTTTTTTTTTTTTTCACTGGCCCTAATCCTCTTCCGTACGTCAATCACCGCTTAATCCTGCAGCATTAGTTTTATTTTAATGGGGAAGAAAATTTTTCAAACTGATTAAGAAGATAAGATCTGGCTTTCGGACCAGAAACGCCTCATAGTGGTGGTCATCTCAGTGTGTGTCTGCATACACCTACATGGAATATTACTGCTGGAATTTAAAATCCTCCCAGAAAGGATGAGAAGTTCCTAAAGGGAGAAGATCAGTAAAATGTTTCAAATGAAAAAAATATATATATATATTTTAGTTCTGCTAGTTTGTAAAAAGCACTTTTATGGCATCAGAAAGCAGTTTCGAGAACGGCTTTAATGGAAAATTACTGGACAGACAAGGGAGACGATGTTTCCTCCATTACCACATCTGGATTTGGATCCTCAGGGATGCTGTGGTAGGGTTTGGGACGGGTAGAAGGTGGGGAATCAGAAATGGGTGCTCAAAGTCGTACAGATGTGTTTCATTTATGACCTATATTTTTATGTTGTTACATGTTTGTTTGTTTTTTTTCTCCTGTACTGCTCAAACTAAATTTCTCCTGGTGGGAATAATGAGTCTGACCTAGGAGATTCCTCCGGGGCTGCTCCTTTAGACCGATTCTGTCTGTGGTGTTTATGCTGATCTCTTGACGAAGACTTGGAGAGGCAGATGTTTGGTTTGGGAACTTCTGGATCCCGTCTTTGCTTTTTGATGGTAATGCGGTTCTATAGGCTTCCTTAGGCCACAATCTGCTTCATTCTTTGAAGCTGTTTGCTGCTGCATTTGAAAAGTGCCACGATGAGAGTCCACTGCTATGATTCTGAGGCCATGGTTAATGACTAGACAAAGGTGGACTGCTGCCTATAGAGTCAGTCCCCAGCTTCAGTGGGTCACTTGCTGCTTTATAGCGATTATTCAATCAGATCATCCAAACAAATTGGTTAAAACTTTTGTAAGAAAAACCAGCTGATTGCATCGAATCATTGTCTTTTCAGGATTCACAGCTCCTGGATGAGAATGTAGAGACGGTACACATTTACTTATGTTGTGTTGGTGACTGTTCAGAAATTCCTCATACTGAGCATAGAGTAAAGAGGAAAAACTCTCTTTTGAATTGTCTCTGTAAAGTGCCTTATAATAGCATTTGTTGTAAGTTGGCGCTGTATGGATAAACGGAACTGAATTAAATTGAATGTGTCAAACAGACCAAATTAAGTAAGGGGATGAGCTAACATATATAACATCAATCTTGGACAATAGAGATAGAATGATGAAAAGGGGTCCCTGTGTCCTCCAGCAGTCTAAGCCTATAGCAGCATAACTACTCAGGATAACCTGAGTCACTCTAACTATAAGGGTTAGTCGTCTTCATTGTTGTCTTCCTCTTCATCTCGGACCTGTAAGCAGAGGCAGGAATCTCAGCAGAGACTCCCAGACTTCCCTTTCCCTAGACACCTTCTCCAGCTCTGCTGGGGGAATCTTGAAGCATTGATGGTAATAATCTGGGTTTGTTTCTGCAGCCTTGAGTCTCTGTGACTGAACAGCTCTGCAGGCTAGAACCACCAGCCCCGTCCTCATCGTGTCTCATCTCGTCCCGCTCTGACTCATGCTCACAGCAACAAACATCTTCCTTTGAATTTTAGCTAAACCACATTTGGATCCCAGCACCATTTACACGGTCTGGAAGTGGAACCAGTAAACACTAATTCCACTGAGTTAATTACTGTGTTGACAGACGATGAGCAGAGCGACACAGGAATTCGGATCTTTTAGATCATGCTGAATATGAGACACCCTTTGTTAAAAATGGGCATGGACGCAAACAACGAAATGAAAATATGAATGTGAGTCTTTTCTTTTTTATTACATATAGAACTTAACATTTAAATAAATCTGTTGAGGTATTTTTTTAAGCCTGTAAACAGTGTCTGTGGAAATGATGTGGACTGGTCATGGGGAATTCTCCCCTTGCCTGGGTCTTTTCCCCTGTGGTGGGGCCCCAGCGGTTCTGTATAGACCTGTGGGGAGCCCTGACTTGCTGTCACCCTCGTCATGGTTTCATAAGCATGTTAAAATGCACCAGCAGAGGCAGCAGGACACATGCTTTTGATTGGCCGAAGCTCTGAGGGCGACAGCAGACTTTAAAGCCTCCCTGTGGTTTTCTGCAGCTCTTTTTTTGTCTCCATTGAAGTTTGCTTTCTTGATGCTAAGATGCAGACAGTTCAGGGTTTATTGCCCGTTTATATTTTCATCACATTTTATTATTCTATTTTTTTTTTCAACACACATTCATCTGTGTAAAAATGCCCTAAAAACGCACAAGAATGCATGGAAAGCAACAAAAACCTGAAGGTGAAGTTCCCTCTTGTTGCCAGCTGGAGGCACTGGTTTGCAGCTGGGGTCTTTCTGAACAATCGGCAGGAACGACTGAGCTTTCCTAAAGATTTATTATTTGTTAAAAGGTAAACATTTGTCTTTTACCTTTAAAACATTTAATCACGTTGAGATCAGATCAACACCAAGTAGTGCAGAGCTTGGAAGAAAACTAAAGCAGAATCTTATTCCAAGCTGAGCGAAGCCACTGTATCTGCGCTGTAATCAGTTAGAGATACAGGGTTTTTCTTTTTTGTATAGACAATGACTTTTTATGGATACTGTGATATCCAAACCCAGCGGTTCCTAAATTTTCTTGCCAGGGGCCTCCATTTGGTTGACCTCCCCCAATAAAACAACCCACCAACCATTGGTATACAATAAAATTAAATCAGTTTGAAAAGGTAAAGCCACTTTTAAGGTTCAATTATATAATTTTTTGACAGTTTTTCCTTTTTTTTGTTTAACATTGCTATCTATATAAAGAAAAAAAGAAATAAAATGGGTAAATTTTTAGTAAAATTTCACCCAGCAATATCATTGGACGCCCCCCACCCAAAAACACACACACTTTGGGAACCACTGGTCCTATTCATCATCATCTTTATCCAGGACCGCGTCGCAGGGCCATCAGCTTTATTGGTTTTATTTTTAGGCCCATGTTGTTCTCTTTCTCCATTTACATCATAAAAATAACAAAAATATTGCAAATGTTGCTAAAGTCTCTCATAAGACAACATTTTTACCAACAATAAAAAAACATAACAATTATATTCATCTTTAAATACCTTTTATTTTTCTAAATGATATTTAATTTCTCATTATTTTTCATTATTTAATTGTACATTTTACAGCTACATTTTGCTGTAAAAAGTAATTATTTTACAACTCACTTATCCAACCACACACATTAAAATGCTTGAGATTATTATAAAAAGTTTCCAGAAGTGTGATTATTTAAATCCTTTATTAATATCAAACATCTTTGACTTCATAACTTGCCTTTTAATTCTATTTAAAGTTCAGATAACAGGAAAGCAAAATTCTTTAACATTTCGGTTAATAAACAGTCTCTTCACAATTACTGCGGCTAGTAAATGGTTAATTTCCTTGTGCAGTGACTGAGTTACTCTGTTATTTTCAAGCTTGATGTTTTAGCGTAATGACAGTCTTAATGGAGCAGGGTTCAGGTTTTCACGGGACGTCCCTCATGTTTGCAGTTAAGGAGGTAAAGGGGTTTAAAACACCTTTCTATGGCCGTTAGGCTGTTTAAATGTCAGGGTTTAGGCATAATTCCATTGTAATTCTAAACTTTTCCCCCCTAACTAGCATCTGTGCTGAAATCCGGCGGGAAAGAAGTCCAGATGTCAAAGGGCCGATATGCACAAAAAAAAAAAAATCAGTGTATTTTTTAAATTTTTATTTTTTTAGCCCTCTGCACTGCAAAACACTGGAGAGAACCCTGACTTTATCTATTTTTATAAACCATCATTCCATACACTTCAAATAAAAAAGTAACATTTACTTATTTCATTGCAAATTTATTTATTTTATGGGAAATTCACATTTAATATATTTTATGGTATGTTTGTGGCCCTCCATTTACCCCAATGATCAAATCACCAGGATTGTTCGAACCATTTCGCGACCTCTCACTTGGTGTTTTGCGACCTCCTGAGGGGTCCAGACCCCTACTTTGAGAACCCCTGTACCAAACACCTCTGACTGATCCATCCATCCATCCATCCATCCATCCATCCATCCATCCATCCATCCATCCATCCATCCATCCATCCATCCTTGGCTCTTTAAATGGAGGGAAAGTGGAGGGAGATTATTTCTCACTCCTCCTCCTCCTCCTCCCCCTCCGCTCCTCCTCCTCCCCCCTCCCCTGTTTACTTGGCAGAGCAGCAGCAGCAGCAGCAGCAGAGGAGGAGTGGACGTGCTCGTCTTTGTGTAAATGAGGGACCTAACTCTGGTGTTGTGCAGAGGAAGAAGCTGCTGTGTGTTTGTGGATCCGATGTTGCAGAGGGAATACTAATCGACGCTGGCAGAGAGGATTTCCTCTCCTCCCTCCGTTCTCACACTAATACCTCATCCTGTTTTCCTCCTCCATCACGCTCTCTCTTCTCTCTACTTGAACGCCGGAGGAGAACCGACTATTTTTGGCGCCATTTTTATCTTTTCTGCGTTTTCTAACAGAATCGAGCTCCTCGTACGATTGGATTTCTCTTTCTATTTATTTATTTATTTATTTTTTCTGTGACTTCGATTTGATGAAGAGCAGCTGGAGGATTAACAGACGATCCTCTTTCCTCTGTGCTTTTTAAAGCCTACATGAATGTCTGGATCTCAGCAGAGGTTCTGCTTTTGAAATTCTAATTTCAGCTTTTCTAGGATCCACGTGGAGCAGATTCATCCAGCGAGTATTTTAAATTTATTTTATTTAAGACGTAATTTTTTTTTAATTATTATCATTGTTCACCAAGGGGAAAGCAAACGTAGAAATCTGGTTCACCTTGGTCCTGATTGATCTTATGAGGTTGTGAATCTTCTGATAAGAGCATCTGTTGAAGACCTGGAGGCGGAACGATGTTATGGTCTCCCAGACTCTCGCTGTCCAACTTCCATGTGAAGCTGACGGCTAAAGGACTTTTCCGAAACCTTCAGCTTCTGCCGGGATGTAGGAAGAACACGGTGGTCTTCCATGCAGGTCTGGACCCGTCTTCTCCATCGTTCCTTCCATCATCCAACCATCTGCCGACTCATCCTCTCAGCTCCTCCATCTTTCTGTCTCAGACTGTCAGGTGCATCAGTGTCATTCCAGGTCTTCTTCCCAGAGTATATCAGATTATCCCATTGACCCCCCCATGGTTCAGTTTAGACCTTCATCCCTCCATAATCATCATACTCGTTGTAGGGGCGGGGTCTAACTGCCACACCCAACCAATCAAACAGAGTTATCTGATGGGTTTTTAAACTGTTTGCATGATGGTGTGTCCAGGAAGTCCCTGCTTTAACTTTATCCCCCTCCTCCTCTCTTCCCTGGTAGTTAATTGTCCTCTAATTGATGTTTTTGACCGTCTTAGATATGAGTTCTCTGATTTAACTCCAAACCCCCTTGCTCTTCCTCCTCCTCCTCCTCCGGCAGCCATTGTTGCCTTGCTCAGTATTGTGCAGATCGTCCCTTTAGAGGCGGCTGTCAGCTGAATTAACACAAATGACTCAGGATGTGCATGGATGCTTTCTGCACGAGTGCCTCAGCAGCGACTCGATGAATAAACATGGCCGCCGGCCTCTTTCAGCTACAACCACGTGACTCACTCCTGAACCAGAACCAGGCAAGGACACAGCTGGCCTGTAGTTATTCAGCCGTTAGGAGGATGCGCTCTGTGTTCTAGGTCGGCGTGTTTGTGTGTTAGCAGGATCTGCTCCACTGAGCCTCTGAGCTGTCAGAGGAACGCTCCTGTATGTGGCAGCCATGTTTAGACACGGCCGCAGCGACTCTAACCCCACCAAGCAGCCGGATCCTGGCCTGCCCGGATCTAACCTGCCGTCTCTCTACTCTGTGTGACTCACCTCCACCTGCACAGATAGTCTCTTCTAGTTTCTTCTCGTCAGCCTCAGGAGTCGGGTTTGGTTATTCTCCTAAGATCAGAAACTGAACAAGATTCAGTCAGTTTCAGGTTCAATCAACAGATTCATTCAGATATTGAGAAGATCCACATTATTCTTCACGAGGTTGCTTTGAGATTTCTCTGACCAGTTAATATTTTTAGTCGGTTCAAAGATTATTAGGGCTAAAGTCCACTTTTTGTTTCATTTAGAAATTAGGTCATCTGCAGCTATCAACAGGATCTTTAAAAGCCTCAGCATGAGAGATGTACTCCCATCTAGTGATGTGATAAATGAACGGAAGCTGCAGAGGGTCACAAATGTGATGTCGACTAGGGTTGGGCGATATTAGGGGTGGAACAGTTCACAAAATCCACGGTTCGGTTCACGGTTTCGTGGTCACGGTTTTCGGTTCGGTATACGTTTATTGTTACACCGAAAAATAAAAAAATTTATAAAAATTAATGAATTTTTTTTTTTATTAAATTAATGAATTTTTAATGATTCGTGGAAACCATGGATCATTTCCGTATGTTTTGCTGCTTTGAATTTAATCATCTCGCGCATGCCCTCTACGATCTCCAAGGAACTCAGAGCGGAGCGGACGGGAGCCACAGTGGAGGCTGTAGGCTTTCCTTTGAGCAGGCGGTCTGGAGCGCAGCGGGGCGGAGCGCTGAAGGAGTATGTGGGACTCCTGTTCTTTCCCACTCGCCATACCCACAC